TCAAGACGGAGGCCAGGGAAGGGAACTGACCCTAAGCTCTCTCTATGAGTTGCCGGCGATGTAATAGTTTTCTCTCTTGACTTCATGCATTCCTCATTGCAGCCCAGCGGGGAGGTGTGTGGTCCCCATCCTATAGGTGAGGACACTGAAGTAGGCAGGGGAAATACCATGCCATGGGTCACTCATTGTAAGAGTAGATCTGGGATCATCATCAAAACCCATGTACCTCCAAAGCTCATTCTCCCTCCAGCCACGTCTCCCAGGAAAAGCTGCCAGATCTCGCCCTGTGGTCCTTCACCACCTTGCCTTCCTCCGCCCGGTCAGCTTTCTAGTAAAATGATCACAGACCCATTGCTTCCCTGAAGGAAAGAGAGAGTCCTGTGTTGGTTGCTCCACTTGGTTATTCAGCGGGTCCTGCCTGTTGCTTTGAGTGGTTTCACAAGCCAGCTTCTGTCAGTGGCAGAAAACAATGCCACATAAATCATTCATCTGGTTCATGTTGGAATCCATCGGCTCTTAGAGTTGGGTGTGGCTGCAGATAATCCCCTGAGCACCCCTTGTTCTCGGTCCCCAAGGATCTCCTGTCATTGTTTTAAACAAGGTCAACTGTCCCTCTTGACTCTGGTCTTCTGTGTCTACTGTACCTTTATGTCAGGTCTTTGAAAACCTGCAGAAACAGGTGAATCTTCGACCAAAAACACTCTGTGTTTCTCTTGATGGGAAAAGATCAAGGTTCCCAGGAGAAGCCAACGCTCTGGGGATGGGGCCTTCTTCCCCCTCTGAGTACTTTTTCAAGGAGAGGAGAGCAGCCCCCCCTTCCACACGCGAGGGCTGTGTCCAGGCGGGAGGCCAGGTTCCAAGATGGGTGGAGTCATTTTATCAAGTGTCGGAGGTTTTGCTGCTGGAGACAAGAGGCAGGCTCCATCTTGAAAATCCCCGTAGAAAGATGGGCCAATTTCATCAGATTTGTCCATCATTGCATTTTAATGAGAAAAATGCTCTCTATGTTGCTTCCAATGTGATATGGCTGTTCTTTTTTTCTCTTTCTAATGTAGCAGTGATGGAAAACAGAGACTCGCTGTATTTGCTTTGGGATTGTATTTTCTTTAACCCCCTTTTACGGCATAGAAATCTGGTGCCTTGCTCCCTGAAATTGTCTCCATGCTATGAGTACGCTTTCTTCACCTTCTGGCTTACACGGGAACATTCCACAAGTGGCCTTTAGTGCTCTTTATAATATCATTTCCTATGATTTTTAAACTGTACGTGTACTTTATATTCTGGCTCCGTCCAATATTTGAACAACTTTAATAGGTTGATTTCCATATATATTATGCAAATAATTCTTACCTGATTTTTTATGTTCTCTCTTAAAACAAGTAAATACTGCACCACTTATTAATAAATAGACATTTCAATGATTATGTGGCGGAATGTTATTTGCTTCGATGATGACAAGGAGTGACAAGAAAAGACAATTTGTTGTTGGTTGCAGGTGGGGGCAATGAGGGAGACTTGAGTATATTTGTAAGATGTGAGGAAAGAAGCAGTTGAGAGGGAGAGAATAAACAAGAAAGAACACGGTGATGGGTGAAGACCCAGAGGAAGGCGGGTGAATGCTCATAGCCGTGAAGAGCGTGCTGTGTGGGTTGCTCATTTCCTTGGAAACAGCCACTGTGCAGGCTGCGGACATACAGGGTTTAATAAGACCTTATCCAATTATTACAGTTTTAAGACATTACTACTCCCACTTTACAGATGAGGAAATCGAGGCCCAGAAACATCAAAGGACCTGCCCAACGCCAGACACTAATAAGTGGAAGAGTCACACAGACCCAGGACCTCCTGCCCCTGAGCCACATGTGACTTCCTTTGGAGAAGGTCCGCCCCCTAAGCCACAGAGGAGGAAAGCAGGGAGACTCAGAGACAGAGTCAAAGGGAGGACGTCAGCAAAGGTCATATCAGACCCCCTCTCCTTTGTCAGTGTAACAGGAGGAGGTGTTTTCTCATGAGAGGGTGAGTTAGGGTGGGAACCTCAGGGTTTGTGCCTTAATTTACTACCTGTAAAGTGGGGCGAGTACTGTCTACCTTGAACGGTCGTTATCTGTGTTGATGTGAGTAGAGAACTTAGGATCCAGCACACAGCACATCCTCAGTGAGTAACTGCTTGCGACCTTACCCTTGCCCACAGGCTCGGGCTCTACAGGAAGAGAGACAGGTGCTGGTGCAGAGAGTTTATTTGGGAAATGATCTCAGGAAACGCAACTGAGATGGTAAGGTGTGTGGGGGAAGGGCCAGTGAAGAGTGGGCTCAATCCACCAGGAACCCTCTAAGGACCCACATAAATGCACCGCAGAATTGTCCCACCTTGGGCAGGAGTCTGGGCCGCTCCTCCGCTCACTCCTCTTCTTTAAATGCCTCCCTCTGACAGGTGTCCCTGTGCGACAGTCAGGCCAGCTCTGAGCAGGAAGGCACGGCCAGTGGCGCTGGGGGCTGTCAGTGTGCTGCGACCCACCTAGCGCAACTGCAGGTGAACTCGGGTCGGGGAGGGCACTCGGGGTGGGATATCAGCATCTGGCGCCTGCGCCCACCTGAAACCCCTACATTCACAAAGGTAAACAGAACCGGCCAGGTTGCCACAGTTCACGCTCTAAATCAAAGCCAGCACTGGGCAGCCGAGCCATGATGCCCGTGGGCATGACTCATAGTGAAAACAGTGCTTTAGCCTCTAGGAACCCGAGCAGGTGATGCTCTTCTGGTACAAGGTCATGATCCAGCTCCGGGGCCCACATCTGTCATCACTACGCCCGAGGCCGACTTTGCAATGATGAGCAGAGCATCCACTCGGGCAACCATTTATTCCTCCCCCAACCAAACTCCCCGCCCCCAGCCTCCTCCGTATGACAGGCAGAGAAAGAGCCTAAAAGTTATATCCCTGAGAAAATGCCTTCCCATCTGCACAAACGGAGCAAGCCCATTCACAGCCTCCAGTCCCAGATACCCCTGGGACAGTTACTGTTCCCAGTAATGTCCGTTTCCAACAATGAGCCGGAGCATCCAGGTGACCTGGGACCCAGTGGCTTCCCCGGGAAGACGTGTAAGGTGTCTCCCCTGAGGAACGACCCCATTATCCTTGTACCCTGCCTCCACCTCAATTATGGAAAGGCGCCCAGCGTGTACCTCCTGGCCCTGGGCAGGTCAGCCTCAGGCCAGGGGAGTCAGCAGAGAGGAGAGGAGGAAGATACAATCAGAGGAGCGACAGGACAGGTCAGGAAGGGCCGAAGGGCCTCGTGGGCCATTACAAGGACATTTGTTTTGACTCTGAGTCAGACAGGAAGTCACTGAGTAGAGGGGTGACACGATCTGATCTTTGCTAACGGGGTTTCCCTGGCTTTTGTGTTGAGAACCCTGAAGGAGGCGAGGACAGCAGCAGGGACATTAGTCAGGAGTGGTATTGTCACTGACAAATCCATGCAGGTGAAAAGCAGATGGTTGCCTGGGGCCGCGGGTGGGTGGAAGGATTGACTGTAAATGGGCACAAAGATCTCACTGGCTGGCAAAAATATTCCCAAACTAGACTGCGTGATGGTCATCCAACTGGTCAGATTTAAAAATTATAATGAGTGAAGGTAACAGGATATAAATTACACCTCAACACAGTTGTTTAGGAGATCTCACCTGGCCAGCATGGCTCAGTTGTTGAGTGTGGACCTATGAACCAGGAGGTCACGGTTCGATTCCCGGTCAGGGCACACGCCCAGATTGAGGGCTCGATCCCCAGTAGGGGGCATGTAGGAAGCAGCTGATCAGTGATTCTGTCTCATCGTTGATGTTTCGATCTTTCTCTCCCTCTTTCTTCCTCTCTGAAATCAATAAAACTATATATATATATATTTTTTAAAAAAGGCCCTAACCGGTTTGGCTCAGTGGATAGAGCGTCGGCCTGCGGACTGAAGGGTCCCGGGTTCGATTCCAGTCAAGGGCATGTACCTTGGTTGTGGGCACATCCCCAGTAGGGGGTGTGCAGGAAGCAGCTGATTGATGTTTCTCTCTCATTCCATAGGCCAATGCTCTATCCACTGAGCCAAACCGGCTAGGGCTGATGTTTCTCTCTCATTGATGTTTCTGGCTCTCTATACCTCTCCCTTCCTCTCTGTAAAAAAATATATTTTTTAAAAAAAGAGAGAGATGGCTGATAATAAGGGACAGTCATTCAGGGAACCAAGAGTGATAGCAGGTGACAAGTTAGCAAGAATTTCAGAAGTCCAGACAAGGAAGACCAACCTTGAACTTGGGTGGTACAAGCAGAAGGAATATGACTGTGCAGGTTCTTCTAGGCCGGGGGTTGGCAGACTTCTCCTGTAAAGGGCCAGAGAGTCAGTGTCTCAGGCTTTGCGGGCCATGGGGTCTCTGTCCCAACTTCTCAACTGGGCCGTGGTAGCACACACAGCCTCGGAGCGTAAGAATGAGCGCAGCACTGTGCCACTAACACTTTATTTGTAAACATTGGAATTTGAATTTCATATCATTTTACGTGTCACAAAATACGGTTCTTTTTATTTTTTTGCCCTAAACCCATTTGAGCCAGGAACATAGGCAGCGAGGCCCAGGCTGGCCGCCCTGGCTCCGGGCACCTGCCGAAAGGAGCAAGCGCTGCCTCCGCCCGCACGCCAGGGGCTGCTTGGCTCCCAGACCTTCTGACAGGAAGGGGAAATCATCGCTCAGGGTCCTGCCTGCTCCTCCAATTCACATAATTACCGTCGGGAGCGCGTTCCAGCCCACGCTGAATCGCTGCTTTGTCATTCCGCTCACGATTCTATTCAGCCCCCAGCACCGCATTTTTCTCCAGTGAAGTTGATCCAGTTTCACCTCCCTGAGTTCTTGGTAGGATTATTAATCCACCCCCCCCCTTCCCCCTGCCCCAGGACTTAAAGCAAAATTATCAAGGCTTCCCCACCCCCGCCTCCTCCTGTATCTTTCACTAAGAACTCATATAAACCCACAGCTCTGCCTGAGCTGCTAATCTCTCTGGCTGCTGAAACCCTTTGAAGCCGCTGATCCTGCTCAAGAGACAGGTAAGTCATACACTGTCGATACTCCAAAGCCCTCCGGCTTCCTCTCCCCCCCCAAAGCGTGGAGCCAGCGAGGAATGCATCTGCCATGGACCCCAAACCCTGGGTTCCTGGATGCTGAGAGATGAGCAGGAGGAAGCTGGGCGTTCTGTCACCCAATACCCACGTGGCACCTGTCTGAGCGTTAGTTTCCTCAAACTGTAAAATAAGGGTCATCAGCCCGGCCCGCATGGCTCAGTGGTTGAGGGTCGACCTATGACCCAGGAGGTCACAGTTCCATTCCCAGGCAGGGCACCTGACCGGGTTGCAGGCTTGATCCCCAGTAAGGGACGTGCAGGAGGCAGCCGATCAATGATTCTCTCTCATCATTGATGTTTCTATCTCTCTCTCTCTCCCTCTCCTTTTCTCTCTGAAGTCAATAAAGATATTTTTAAAAAACAAAATAAGGATAATGACAACCAAGTAGGGTTGCTTCGAGGACCAGTGGGAGGCCACATGGAAAGTTTCTGGCACAACAGATGGTCAACAAATACTAGATTCTGCACCTCGTTTTCTGCGTCAACTATCTTTGAAAAGGCAGAACTATTGCTGGGAAGGTGGCCTGGCCCTGCCGGTCTGCCCGGGGCAGGAAAGATCTCCCACAACACGAGTCCAGGTGGCTTTGAAAGTCTGTCTATTAAAGCTGGGGACGGTGAAGCAAGGAAGGGCCAGGATGGAAGAAGCCACAGGAGCGCCCAGGCCGGGCTGCCCTGGTCCCTGGGCGTCAGAGAAAAGGGGGCTTTGGAGACAGGTTCAGGGGGTGAGCTGGGGCGAGCGGCCGCTGCCCATTGCTCTCCTGGTTGCAAGTCTCCTGGGTCCCTTAGAGTTTGGGAAATGCAGCCTGTGGGGGAAGGGGAGGGGGAGGGAGAGGGTGCTGGGTCCTCTGTCCTAGGGCTTTTAAGGGTGGGATTTCAGGGGAGGCCTCAGGGCAGGGTTTCGGCAGAATATTCCAGGTGTGCCCTGTCAGGGTTATGTCCTCCACTGATTGGTCAGTGCCAGGGTGGTCATTAGTCATGGCAGCTGGTCCTGGTTTTGCTACTTTTCTGGGCCTGGGGCTGAAATACAGCCGAGGCCTAGATCAGTGGTTCTCAACCTTGGCTGCCCATTAGAATCACCTGGGAATCTTTTTAAAATCCTGATTTCTGGGCCTCATCCTCCGGAAATTCTGTTTCTTTGTTACTAATGTCGTGGCCCCACCCCATAACAAAGAAACAGAATTTCCGGAGGATGAGGCCCAGAAATCAGGATTTTAAAAAGATTCCCAGGTGATTCTAATGGGCAGCCAAGGTTGAGAACCACTGGCCTAGATGTCAGCTCCAGGGAGGCGGCCTTCCGTATCTGGCTGTAAGTCGCTCAGCCAGTCTGTTCAGCCACCTGCCTCAGTTTCCCCAATCCACTTGGCAAGGGATTTCCCTAGCTTCTTCCTATGCTGCCTCAGAACCTCAGCCTTCAGTGTTGTCTGCCAGGCCTGAGTGTGCAGTCTGGGCTGCTGCTCCCCTGTGGAAGGACCCTGGGCCAGTGGTCTGGCACCCCGGATCCCCTGAGTCCCCCCTCAGGAGGAGGGAGCTGACACTTAGGCTGCAGGCGGCTGAATGAACCGACCAGGATCATGTACTGAGAGCATGTCGCTCTCCCCTCGGCTGCCCAAACGAGATGGGACTTCGGTGTGAGTCCCCGCTCCACTGAGCCTCGCAAGGATTCTCTGTCTGGGGCACCTTCCTTCGGCTGCACAGTGCGGTGAGGAGGGCGGGGTCCTTGGCGGCTAAACTAACCGTGGCCGACGGTGACCCTTGTGAAGGGGAAGTCACGCAATGTGAGGCTCCAGGGACATACTGTGAATTCATTTCATAAGAATTTTGGGCCGATTCTTGGCTCCTCGGTCACAACAGCACTCCGCAGCCCTTTTCGGGGCGTGTGACTGAATTTCTAACTCGGTCCAGCCACCCAAAGGCTTTGCAATAATAATCCTGTTTGTCCTCAACGTCAGGCCCATTCCTGGCCATCCAAGATGGCGTTTCGATGGGCGGGGAATAGAGTAAAAGGTGGTGGAAAAGGACACAGACTTTAGCATCTGAGGGACCTCAGTTCAAATCCCAGTTGTCCCACTTACCAGCCCTGGAACCACGGGCTCCACCTCTGGTCTGTGGGTTCTTCTCTGATGTCATCGGAATGTCAGGTCTCTCTCAGAGGATGATTGAAAAGGTAAAATAACAGAGACGAGTGGGGGGCGGGGAGGGGAGAAGAAAATAAGAGAGGATGCCTAAAAGTGCAGGCTGTTGGGGAGTTTCCTCCACACTCTTAGGTTCGGGGACGGGGTCCTGCAAATTCAACTGGCAAAAGACAGGGTTACAGCACAAAAACATTTAAAGCTCGTGTCCAGCGTGGCATCCAGACGAGACACCAGTCCCTACCTACCAATAATTAAAAAGCAATTTAAATGTTTATGAGGATCTTTCAACAAAATTCCAAAGGTGGGTCCAGCCGGATGGACCACAGAACTTCTTAAAAGATGTTCTTAATTTGCCACAAAGAGGCTCAATTCCTAAGTCACTTTCCTCAACCCCACTTCCTCTTGACTTTCCTCCCCTCCCCAATTCACCTTCCAGATCTATTTCATTCTCCACCAACGGCAAATGCCTGCTCTTTTCACATCACGCCTGTGCAGGCTGGATGCTAAATGGGAATTACGCGAATACTGACACACAGAGGTTCTGCGGTTGTTAAGTGATGATATGCGTCAGACGGCATTTCGTGTGGTGTCTGGCACCCAGACAGCACTCAGTAAATTGTCACCATTATTCTCATTAGTCTCAGCTCTGCAGCCTCCACTGTCACACTGATTCTGCACAGCAAGTCCCAGGGGGACCGCTGGGACGCGAAGGCAAGCAAGTCTGAGCACTCACACACACTCATATGTTAAATGTTTCCTAAGCAGCTAGGATGCTGCATGTGGAGGTAGTTCCCATCTAAACAGCCAGAAAAGCCATGAACTAGTAGACACTGGTTCTCCCTGAATAGGTATGCACGCCCCCCTCCTATTCCCAGATCTCCTTTGGTTAGGCAGGGCCGTGTGAGTGATTCTGGCGTGGGCTGTAAGTAAAAGTGAGTGTGTCCCTGCTTGCCAGAGCATTTGAGAGTTCGTACACAGGCCCAGTCGGTATGGCTCAGTGGATAGAGCGTCGGCCTGCGGACTGAAGGGTCCCAGGTTTGATTCCGGTCAAGGGTATATGCCCGGGTTGTGGGTTTGATCC